GCCCCGCGGCGCGCCCGGACTGCGCGCCCGCAGCGCGGAACCGCGCACAGCCCGGAAAGCGGTCCCGGGCAAACCAGGGCGGTTGGTCGCTGTAGCTGCGGCCGGCTGTCCTCAGTCTCTAACCAGGGGCAGGTGGGAGGGTCTGGAGTGGCCCAGGGTGGGGGCTGGCTCTGCCTGTGCTACAGAAAGCCGTGGTCCCCGAAAGGCACCGTCGTCTTTTCCTGAAGGTGGGCAGGAAAAATAATACAGCTCACCCAGTGGACGAGGAGATGAGGAAGCTTGTCCCGTTTCCGCGTGGAAAGAGTTACTCTGATGAAAGTTTGAAACCCTAGACCTGCATTTCTTAGAGCACTTACGTTTTGTTGGAATCTCAAAACCTGGAAATTGATTCCCCAACCCCCATTTCCTCCCCCAAAGGATCCCAGACAAGGTATACCTGGCATCGCCGGCAGAAACAAACATACAACCAGCCTGGAGAGACTTTTCCGTAAGAGGCTGAAAGGGATTCTCATAAGAAAATCACCCTNGGATTCTCATAAGAAAATGACCCTTTAAAGATAAGCTCACAATGAAAATTACAAAACAGTATTTACCATAAGTGAGAATGGCAAACAAAAAAGATTAAAATGTCAAAAACTTAGAGAAGAAACTTCTTNAGCTCACAATGAAAATTACAAAACAGTATTTACCATAAGTGAGAATGGCAGACAACAAAAAAGATTAAAATGTCAAAAACTTAGAGAAGAAGCTTCTTTGGGGGGATGTGTGTGTGTGTGTGTGTGTGGTATATGTTTTTTCTCAACTTATTTGGAGTAATACACTTTATATTTTAAGGTAGTAATTCTATTTAAAAGGACAGCCCTGGCTGGTTTGGTTCAGTGGGTAGAGCATCAGCCTGTGGACCGAAGGGTCCGGGGTTCGATTCCCAGTCAAGGGCACTCACCTCGGTTGCAAGTTCCATCCTGGCCCCAGTGGGGGCACATGAGGGAGGCAACCAGATGTGTCTCTCTCATGCCGATGTTTCTCTCGCCCCCTCCTCTCTCCCTCCCACTCTCTCTCTAAAAATACATGGAAAAAAAATACTCCCTGGGGGGATGAAAAATAAAGTCTAAAATAATAAATATCTTTACTCTCCTCTTGGATAATTCAAAGGCCTTAGAATGTACACCCTCCCTCCCAATTTCTAAGCTATTATTATTATTCACTACTTTAGTTCTATCCTGTTTTCCTCCAATAAATTAGACATCATGGTTTTTTGTGTGTGTTTTTTTAAATTGATTTCAGAGAGGAAAGGAAATGGAGAGAGAGAGACAGAAACATCAGTGATGAGAGACAGTTATTGATTGGCTGCCTCCTGCACACCCCCGATAGGGATGGAGCCCACAGCCCGGCAGGTGCCCTGACTGGTTAATCAAACTTGGATCTCCTGGATCATGGGTCGATGCTCAACCACTGAGCAATGCCAGCTGGGCTAGACATCATGTTCTTTTAGACTCACCCACATGTATAAAAATATTTTGCTTACCATTTTTTTGCATATCTCAGATCTTCCTTCTGGATTATTTCTTTGTTCCTGAAGTAAATTCTATGGAATTTCCTTTAATGAGAGGGGTAAACTGTCAGATTTTTTTTCACCTGAAATTCTTTTATTTTGCCCTTGTTTGTTGAAGATGATTATACTGGATATGGTATAATTCTAGATTCACAATTGTCTTTTTTTTCTCAGGATATTGAACATATTCTATTCTCTTCTGGTTTCTGTTGATACTAGAAAATCTGTCAGTCTAATTGCTGGTTATAATCTGTTTTTCTTTGGTGTTTTGAAATGTCACAGTAATATGAATGGGTGTGGAGTTTTGAAATTTTCTCCGGCTTAGGAGTTTGGGGGCTCTCGATTCATGGATTAGCTTTCAACAATTTAAAATATTTCACCCCCTTTTTTTGGTCAAAGAGTAATTTGGTAAGGAATTTAACCTAGTTTTTCTATTTCATATTCCATAAGCAATTCTTATAATCATTTTTGTTTAAATCATGACTTTTTCAAAGGTCGGTGGTATTTTCTTTAAACTTGAGAAATCTTCACTTAATATAGAAAAAAAGAATTCTTATTTAAGATCACAATTGACTGTAACAATGTTAATGTGTTAAGATTGGTAGCATAATGTGTTAAGATTGGTAGTATAATTTATATAAATTCAAAAATATATCTCTACATTGCTTCCTTATCCTTTAGAGCAGCGATTTTCTTCTTTTTTTTTTTTTAAATATATCTTTATTGATTTCAGAGAGAGGAAAGGAGAGGGAGAGAGAGAGATAGAAACATCAATGATGAGAGAGTCATTGATCAAGCCCGCAACCCGGGCATGTGCCCTGACCGGGAATCGAACCCCGATCACCTGGATCCTAGGTCAACGCTCAACCACTGGGCCACGCCCAGCTGGGCAGCAGCGATTTTCAAGATTTTCAGCCAGTGTGCTGCAAGAATTTTTAAAACATGTCAGGGACACTGACCTCTTTCCCTTAGATTGTCAAATTTAAAAAATCACAACAGCCAATACAACAATAGCTGTCTGGTGTGAATGAGTCAAAATTTACTTTGTCAGATCGACAAAAAATACATTTTTTGGCGTGCTGCAACATTTTAGTAATTAGTTCATGTGTGCCATGATAGGAAAAAAGGTTGAAAATCACTGCTTTAGAGACTGATAGGACAGGGAGAAGAAAAATGGCTATTTTTTTTTTTTTTTTAATCTTTTCTGCTAGTTCTATTGTGCTCCTAAAACCTGGGACTTTGGATAAAAGGCTTACAATCAGTATAAACACTCTCAAACTTCATTTATTTTCATGATATTTGTTGTATCTGCTCTGAAATCTCTACATTACTATTTACCTAATTTTTTAAAAACTGCCTCAATATTTTCATGCTCATTAATATGAAATCACATTTATTGTGTTTGTTACATTTTTTAGCAATGCACCTTAAAATAAGTATGTAACTTAAAATTTAAAATAATATTTTGTCAGTGGATCTCTCCAGATCATATTCTCGGGGCAACAGATAGCATGCTTTTGGAGAATACTGGATTGGGAGAACTCTATCTGGTCTTTGGAAACGCAAAGTTAGGTCCAAGGCTCAAGGCGGGTGGAGTGTCAGGTTTTCTGCATAATAAACAAGAGTAATTGAAATTGAATTTGAAGGGAGGAAACCAAGCAAGGCTCAAAAAATGGAAATCTGGAAATCTGGAGAAAGAATTTTGCAAAGTAACAAGAAGTTGCAGCCTGCTTTGAAAGATGCTATGTGATTACACTGGAATCATCTGGAGGCTTTTGAAAGTTTGTATTCCCAGACAAATTAAATCAGCCGAAACCCAGATATTGGTGTGTTTTTTAAAATGTTTCTCAAGTGACTCCAATATACACCTAAACTTGAAACTCTTTACTATAGAACTTTGCTACCCTGTGTGGTCCAGAGCAGCAGTTTTGCATCACCTGGGTACTGTGGAATCTCAGGCTTAATGAATCAGACTTAATGAATCAGAATCTACATTAGACCTCCAGAAGGTTTACAGCACATTAAAGTTCAGGAAGCACTGACATAAACAACTTGCCATAAACAACTTGCATCTTTGGATTTGAGAATGCGTGCCTTACAGAGAGAACCTGCTTTTCCAGCCTCTCTTGCAGCTAGAGCTGGGCCTATGACCTACACAACACCATTGAGATATACTTACCCATATGACTGCAGAGAATACATTCTGGAGAAGGATGGCAATAGCAGCCGCCACCATGGCATCAATTATAGTAGCCACATCTGCTGTCGGTGGTGCAAGCTGTGATGCAATTCAGTGCACAGTGGTAGCAGCTGAAGTTTCTTCACTGGACCGTATCTGCAGCATGATTCCATGTGTCATTCCTGGAAAAACAGACTCCCAGCCTGATTATTAAGTTCGTTCTGAAATTCCTTTCCTGCTTAAGTCAGCTAAAACTTAGGTGCCTGTTGCTTGCAACAAAGAATCTTGACTGAAATAGGTGATGAGTGAGGTCAACCAAAACACTTTTAAGATGAGGGTTAACAGCTAAAAGATTTATGCCACAACATCATGCCCCCTGTATTGCACAAAAGCTTTGTGGCAGTGGTGTTTTCTGAGGGATGTCAAGGAAAAGGTCTTTTTCCCTCCTCTGTAGCAACATGTTATAGACAGGACTGCATTCAGGGCAGTAAGATGATTCACAGATGAAATAATCCAGCAGGAACAGAAACTCAGAGAATGAAGTGAACTGGAAAAGCATAAATCATACTCTCAAAATTCCCAGAGAGATAGGAAGAGGCCTATGCTATTCCTACTATATGTGGGCTAGAGTTTGAGCCAATTCCGCTTAAATCTCAAGGTATGGTGCCTCAGCTTCTACTGGGCCTGTATTCATGTGGCCCAACATAGCAACACGCATCTTAATGGCACATGTGCATACTTGCAGATTTGTCCACTGAGCAATGTTGCTTAAGCCTCCTTGTGCACCTTTAACCCTAGGACATGCATAGTAGTTTATTCAGTCAACACTTGATCTCCTGAGCAAGTTTCCTGAATTTTGGGGTTGGTCTGAACCAAGCTCACCTAATCTTCACAATGGCTTCATAAAGCCTGCCTAAATAGATTACTGAAAAGTGATTGACTTCTTAAAAGTAGCAATAATGACAATAAGCACTGATACTGATAATGGCATTTACTATGTACCAGGTGTTAGATGGGCCAGGTACAGAAACCCAGGTATAGAAACCCAGGTAAGGAGACTCACCAGGGCAGAAAGCCCCAGATGCCTAGCAAGGGGCAAAACTGGGAAAACAAGAACCTTGTCCCCAGGATGATCTCTCCTCCCCCAGCATATCGCTGCTCATGTGATTTAGACCCCTTGAGTGTTGCTCCCTAAAGATAACATCTAGGCCTCAGTTTTATTTCATCATCATAACCTAAAAGTTTCAAGTTTTCTACATAGGACATGAATTACTTTCAGAATCTGAAAAGAAAAAGCTAACTTGAAAAGAGGTAATCAGGAAAAAATATATATTTGGCCATTTAGTACATGTTTCTTAATTTCCTCCTTTTGTCTAAGAATATGCTTACAAGTCAACTTTAACATTAGAGACATCAACTTTGGCTTTAATTGTATAGTATAAAATTTGGATTTTGACTCCCTTTTAACATAGAATAATATTAATCTCATAAGAAAGTTAAACACAATTTTAAATATACATGATATCAAATTATAAGTTTTCCCTTAAAGAACTTTAAAATATTTGCGTTTGATTTAAAAATCAATAAAAGACTGCTTAGCTATGTTTTAAAATCATTTGGGTTTTCTTCGACATCTCTGCTCATTGTTTAAAAGAAATGCTATTTTGTTAACAAATCATTCAGATGTTTATTGGGTGTTTGTGCAAAGCCTGACAAGTAAAAACAAAATTCCTCCAGAACCCAGTATCACAAAAGCTTTTGTTTCAAGCCACAAATTAGACAAATCTGTTTTTTCCCTAACACTCTGAACATTTTACATCAAACAGCCCCAGTTTAAGTAAATATCCATCCCTCTAAAAAACAAAATTAATATTAAAATTCTTTTTGTTTGTAGAAAGAGCTAGATTCAACAGGTTCCAGATGTTGCAACTGGACCACAGATGTATCCAAAATAACAATAAGAGGAGTGCATTTTTTGTTTTGATTCCAAGCAGAAACAATTGCCACTTAAGAATTCACATTAGGGCAACAAAAAATTGTGCTCTTGTACCAAGTAAATAAACACTATTGTTTTAGCAAAGTGCTTCAAGACATAGTGTTATATAAGTACCACTCCTTCCTATCATAGGGTCGGCAGAAGATACAGATTTCTCATCTTTATAAATCCATCGCTGTTGATATTATAAGGCTACCAGGCTCCAATATTCATCCATGCTACATTCAGATGTGCAAAGAAAAGGTAGTTTCTTTAAATTTAACTTTTCAACAGGCTCCCATGAGGTGACAAACTGTGAGAAATAGAGTAGGGTGTGAATGAGAGGGAGGCAAGCTTCAGCCTGTCCTGTTGATAATATTTCAGTCTCTTCTGATGTCAGTAGTCGCCTTTGGGGTGAACTCATACAATTTGTGTCCCAGGATCAAAGTTTTCCTCCCATTTTCTCTCAAAAATAGCGAGCAGTAGATGGAGATTTTATAAGACCTTGTGTTGGAGGGAGAAGAAGGGCCTCTGATCCATGCTAGGCCCTCACTGGTTATAGCTGGCCAGGCTGGCTCTTCCACACAAAGGAGGGATCCTGAAAGATGCTGTAGGCTGGCTGACCTACACTCAGCCTCAAACCCCCTTCTTTGTTAACTGTCTCACATAGGCTGTTACTGCTAGGGGACCAAATGACACACTTCAGGTCAATAGATACACGCAGAAGCTCTTTTAGGGGGGAGCCCCTAGTGTGTCACTTCCTGAATGAAAAGGCAAAGCCTCCTGAAGAGAAAGCCCATTGTTTATTGCTCTTTTCCTTCTTGGACATGGTTGTGAGGCTTGGAAGGGCAGCAACCATTGGTGGACCATGAGTTGACAAACACAAACACGAAAATCATTACGTTAAAGATGGAGGAGTAGAAAAAGAGAAGGGGGAAAAAAAAAAAGCCTGATAGTATCACTGAGCTTCAGTATGAGCTCTACTTAACTTGGAACATCATGTTACATAAAAAACACACATATGCCCTTACAGACCTAGTTACTTAAGTCACAATTTTGGGAGGGTTTCTGCTCTTGCAGATGAATGCAGTCTTAATGTATACAGTGATCAAAGAAAGGAAGGGCCTTAGGTTTAGAATAAATACATAAGCACAAGCATGTATGTTTGAGAGAACTTTTTGAGTTCTGTCAACTTATTACTTCTGCTAAGACTAGTTAATTTATCATACCCAAGATGTGCACATGTTCTATAATTAGTCAACATCACTGCATGGAGGAAATCATGAACAGGAAAAAAGTGGTGGCTCAAACTTCTCGAGCCCTCCATGACTTGGCTTGGGATTGGAGCTAACCACATAGCCCATTGCTGGGAGAGCTCTCCTGCCCTTGACATTGCTCCTGAATGGGGAATAGACTGAATGCTGTACCCATTACAGAGGAGGAACGAAGCCAGTTTGCTTAAGGAGCCAAGGATCTTTCCAGAAGAAACAGTCTGAGACCCCAATCCCTACTTTCTAAGATTCAAAGTTAAGAGAAAGATGGTGGGGTATAATGAAATAGCTTTGACCAGGAGATGTGGTCCCAGTAAGAATGGAACCAAATGATCTCAAAGAACTCATTAAGGGGAAAGAGAAAGTATGGTTTGGTGACTTAGGTCGCTCACCAGGGTCAACAGATATGTAAGGCTTGCCAGTACTGGTCCTATAGTTGACTGACTTATTCACCCAAATTCAGGGTCCCTCTCTGTAATGCCCCTCCCTGTGAGAGGATTAGACATCGACACCCTATGAACTTGGGCATGGCCATGTGATTTGCTTTGGCCAATGAAATGGAGGAGGCAGTAATGTGTGTCACTTCTGGGCAAGGTAGAGAGCCAGTGTGTGGTTCACCAGTGTGTGCTTTCTCTTTCCTCTAGCTTGCGATGTTCTAGCTAGTGGTTGCTCTTCATTGGGGATCCTGGAGTGAAGATGACACAGAACAGCCATGGCAGGCACACATGGGCATACAGCTGTGTACGAAATAATACTTTGTTATTAGAAGCTAATTCAAGCTTGGGGTCATTTGTTTATGCAATGTAGCCTAGCTGTCCTAACTCCTCAATTGAGACTAACTGAGGGCATTTAATGATACTAAGCTCAAAACAGATACTTTGTGACTGTATGCTCTGGGGTGCCTCGTTTCCAAAACTGGGTCCCACAGAAGGCTAAGGTTGTGCCAGGCATCAATAGAATTCAGTGGGAGAAATATTGATACTGGTGAATTTCTTATAAAATATCTAAAACATATCAAACCTATAGTTATTCTTAGTTTCATGGAATAATTTATCATTTAGAAATAAATAGTATGGCATTACTGAGAACACTGCCATTGTAGGATAATATTGAGAATGATCAATTGGTGCTCTTCTTCCCTCCTTCCTTCCACTCCAAAGTGGTGTATTAAAATCAAATTCTTTTTCTTGGGCCCTTCACCTCTTCCTTTCCCCCAACCCAGGGAGCCAGACATGAGTCACTCTCTTCTCTGGGTGGACAGAGGCACCAAAGACAAGAAAAGAAAGGTGGTATATTTGAGTCTTGAATTCCAACTACATTGGTGAAAGGTTGACAATTGCAGGGGTAGTTAAAGGCAGAATAGATTAAAAAAACCATGGGATCGGGAGAAACTTATTGGGAAGGATTGGGAGGAAACATTTGAAAGGGGTACAGCATACAAGTTAGAGACCATAACCTCCCATCAGAATTAGCACAGTGTGTTTCCAGCCCAAGGAGGCCCTCTAAAAGTCAATTAAAGGCCCTTCTGTGCCTCCTGTTGTGGTCCAGAGAGAACCGCTGATAGATAGTTGCCATTGCAATGCTCATCAGTCATCCAGCATGAATGATGGCCATCTGTGCTCTGAGATTTTGTTCAGGCCCCTCCTCTGACAAGTGGAGAACATCCAGGATGCTCAGGAGTCCCCTGGAATACAGAGTAGGGGTGGACACCTTGTAGAGGGTGGTGGTGGTGATGGGGGCTTGAGGAAAAAGCTCCTGCCTGAACCAAACTGGGACCAAAAAAGGCCAGCTGAAACTCCCGGCATGCCACT